AATTTACTATATTAATAACAACTACACTACTAGTTACTACTAAACAAAAACATTATAATAGAGGTATTATATTAGTATTAAGTTTTTAGTCTATTTTTTTAGTAACAGAAAATTTTAGTTAAGATAGTTATACTTATTATATTCTATCTAAATTAGTTTTAAAGCATTTCTAAATACTTTCTAAACACTGTAGATAGGGACTATTAGCCTATAAAAAGGGGGGTAGTGTAACAATTCTACAAATTATTCTATCTTAGGTTGCTTAGATCCTATCTAAAGGGTCCCTGTATCAGCCCTAACTATGACTTAACCTAGTCCCTTGCAGTTACCCCTATTCCTGCATGTATTTAGTCGCACCTTGCCCCTGTAGCTAGCTTAGTAGTTTTCTGATATCCTACGTACAAGGCCTATAGGTGTCATTGGTATTCCCAGGTCTCTGAGTCCCCACGCACTCCCATATGCCTCTGAGTGGATTCATACCGCATTCGGACCCATTGTCTTGCCTGCGCCGTTACAACAGGTTGGCTAGCTACTTTTGCTAAGCCCCTACTAAAACTACCCTATTCTAGCGCAAAACAGCCTACTTTAGCCCTATATAAAGTAATACAACACAAGATATTATTTAGAGTCTACTTTTACTACTTTCTTATATGTATATAAGTTATGCCTAGTTTAATTACACTGCTTATATTACTTTTAACTTAGCTTACCTTCTTTAGCGCGCACCTGCGTCTTTAGCTTCTTTCTATTACTACACGCTCTAAACTTCTTTAAAGTAGTTAGATAAGCTTTATTCTTAACTATTAAAGTCTTTTCTACTTAAATTTACTTTCTTTTATGTAATCTACATTACATAGCAGCTTTATTTGCTACTTAAAGCTTTATAATCTTCTTTTACACTAATACTAGCTTATATATAATAATTACTGCTCTTTTTAAAAAATTTTAAAAGCTTTTACTATAAACATTAGTAAGCTATTTATATACTTTTTAATTCTTACTTTTATAAGTATTAATTATAACTTAAATTTAAGAGTATTACTTAGAGTTTATAACTACTAAAGCTTATTATTAATAAGCAGTAGTAGTAATAAAGTATATAACTAAATATTAAAGGCTATTTTAACTTATTTTAGGTTAAATAAGACTAAACTAGCACCTTAAAACTCTTTTTAAATATTACTAAAAGTAATTACTACATTATAGGTGTGTATAAAGCATAGTAAGAACTTAAGTTTTATAATATAAGTAATCTAGTTACATATAAAATCTTTAGCTTAGCACTTATACACTTTTTTTAAAGAAGTAAAATAACTTATATTAAAAGGCTATAAAAGGTGTAATAAGTGTAGAAGTATATAAATAGTAATAATTTTATTCTCTTTATAGTACTACTAAAAATTAAGTAAGTTATAGCTTTTATAGCTATTAATAATAAAAAGCTAATAAGCGCTTATAACTTTTTTTTATATACTTATTAAAGTGCTTTAACTACTACAGCCTAAGCTTATTTATTATCTAGCTGTTTTTAGAGACTATAATAACTTAGTTCTAAAGTAAATTTTTTTATACTAAGCAGAGAGGTAATAGCAGCCTTTAAAAATAATAAAGAGTAAAATAGCCTACTTTATTATGTTAATGCTTTAAATAACTATTATCTACTCTTTATTACTTTACTATATTACTTTTAGCTGTCTTTATCTCTTTAAAGCTATAATAACTGCTTTAGTTAATATCTAGCTTATTATAAAGCCTAACTTATTAAAGTTATACATGTTTTTATTCTAGATACTGTACTTAGCTTTTATATTAGCTACTAGGTAAAACTAGCCTTAGATAACCTTTAGATTCTTATAAAGTGCTTTTTTATAATTATACTTATAATTAAACTTTATTATAAACTTAAGACAGTGCTTAACTTATATACTAGGCTAGTTTAAGCTAACCTAGCCTAGATTACACTCTACACGCAAGGAATTAGCTATATTAGCTACAGCTATAAGCCTAAAAAGAAATTTATATATAATAAGCTTAAGTATGTACTTAATAACTACTTTTTTTAAGATTAGTTAGATTTTTTTAATTTAGGCTAGTATTCTGCTTATAAAGGCTGTCTAGCGTGTTAATTACTTAGTATTATGTAAAAAACATTATAAATTGCTATAGTATATTATAAAAAAAGTTTTAAGTTTTATTTAAAAGCTTAAAAAGTAAGCTATATCTAATGTTCTTTAGAAGATTTAATCTAGTGTTGTTGTTAAGGCATTATGTAGATAGGTAGAGTGTGGTAGGGGCTTGGCAAAAGTGGCTGGCTAACCTGTGTAGCCGGCTAACCTGTTAGGTACGTTATAGCTAAGTGCTATAAATAACCCTTATAGCTAAAGCGCTTTACTACTTTTAAAAAAAATATTATATATACTTTAAGCTAAAACTATTATATTATTAGCTAAAGCTTTAGCAGGTTTATTTTTAATAGAAATAAGCTACTACTATAAACTATTACTAGCACTACTAATCTTTAAGTTATAGCCTAAACATAGAGGTTTACTAGCTAGCTTATTATTACTTTTTTTTATAAAGTAGTAACTAGCATAGTTACACTATTTATAATTGCTACATGCTTTACTAAAGTGCCCTTTAGCGCAGCAGCACTCTAGAAACAGTTGTAGGCCTAAGACAGCGCTATAGCATACGCTGCATAAGTTGTCTACTACTCTTCTACAAGATTATATAAAAATAGTGTTAATATATAAAGGCTTATATAAAGCTATTTAATAAGAGGATATACTACTATATATAAACTCTACATTCTGCTCTAGAAGGGCTAGTAATGCACAGGCCTATAGACTATAAGCTAGTAGGGCTAGCTGCTGCTGTCCTACATGTAGAACAAAATTAACATTAGCGCTAGCTTAGTTAGTAGTAGTAACAGCAGTATTATAAAAAATAAAAGCCTTATTTTAAGTGTTAGCTTTGTATAATAAAAGTAATTAAAATACTATAAGCTTAATACTTATATTATTATTATTATTATTATTATTATTATTATTATTATTATTATTATTATTATTATTATTATTATTATTATTATTATTATTATTATTATTATTA